AGGACATAGTTTTAACTGCATGATGCATAGTGCATGCATAATAAAAATCAACAATAATGTACACGTGCACACACAAGTAAACTGTATACTATTCATGTTGGAGTTTATTATACTCAGTGTCCTCAGTGGGCTTCTTGAGGAACTTATTAACAGTGGCATAACTATAATCCAATTCTTTTCTTCTCTCTTCCTCTCCTCTCTCTCCTCCTTCTCCTTCCTCTTTGATAGTAGTACTGCTATACCCAGGATTAGCCTTAGGTGCTATATTAGTAATATAACCAGGATTAGGTTCTGTTACTGCTGTATTAGTAATATACTCAGGGTTGGGTAGAGTAAGATCATGTTGATCATCAAGTGTAGCATAAAGAGGAGGAGGAGGGAGAAGGACATATGCTTGTTGTAATAAGTTTAGAGGTACTTCATATTGACTGGCTACTCTTGCTGGTGGGCAGTGATGATGATGATGATGATCAACTTCATCTTCAACTGAGGAGTATATGCCATTACCAGTAGTAATGTTAGTGTTATTGTTACTGCTTGGACAAGTTTCAGTGCTGTTGCTATTGATAAGATAACAGTTATTGTATATTTTTATTAATTTACATTTACCTTCTTGCCGCAGTTTGAGGAGATGTGCTTTGTAAAGGTATTTGTTCATTCTCTGTTACGATGCTAAAAAGTAGTAGTTATATTTAAGAGTGTTGTAATGATAAAAACACTTACAATTTTGATTTTTTCCTCTGGCAGAATATGTAGACACAGCTACTGATTAATGCAATGATTGTCAGTAAGTTAGTAGCTACTAATAAACCAATACCAGTGTAATGGGGTACTGTTAATTGTGCTGGGGATACTGTTGATATTGTTGAGGATGTTAACAATGATGATATAAATCTAGTTGAACCTTTCTCAAAAGAGCAATCTACTGATGATGCAGATACTGTTGCTGTAGGAAATTGAGACGATAATGTCAAATAAGTTGATAAATTGACAGCATTAGAGCAATCTTTCTGAAAATCTACTGTAGAGGTTATTGTTACTGTCTTCTGAGTTGAACACATCTCATTACTATTTAAGTTGTATATACTATATGTGAACTGCAAAGTAGATCTGTTGCTGCCATCAGCATTTGACTGAATGCACTGATGAACACTTTCATTATGACATGTAGTGTAAGAAACCTCCATTAAGGCAGCCGCATTATTATATGCACATAAACACAATTTCATTGTTCCTGATGATGGCATAGAATATGATTGGTTTTGCTCCCACACTACAGTGTTATCAGCATCTGGTACACACCAAATTAGATCCAGTGCCATGTTACGAAGAGATTCGCTGTGTCCAAAAGAATAGAAGGTAGAATCATTTTGGACATGTTCATAGAAAGGTCCTCCTGAACAATGTTTTTTTCTGTACAAATTGAAACCTGGATATGTGCCTACATTATAAAGCTACATTTGAAAAATTCAAATGTATACTTCTAATACTGACCTGATGGTAGGGCACTGCAGGCAGTATTACAGGATAAATGATTATTGCATTGACATCCCATACCAGAAGAAGCACCAAGATTACAAAAAATAATTACCAGTACAAAGAAATACATTGCTACTCTGCAGGCTACAACTTCTACAATCCACAGAATGGTACCTCCTATAACTCCACCTACACCTAAATCATGGATGTTGGGCAGCTAATATGGCAATGAGCCTATAGCTGGATCTATCAGCCTTGATACAATCATGCTGGAATACATACTGGTTCAGCCAGAGCAACATGCATGTTTCAGCAATGATACCTGTCAGGCTGTATCAATTAAACTGTAATCAGGCTCTATTCATTGATTTTGGGCAGTATGTGTTAAACATCTAACTTTATCATGTAAAACTAAATCAACAATCACAATCCAACACATATCTAATTAACTAATGAGTCTACTATTAATACTAGAAATAATCAAACAGTGTCATTTAGTTCAGTTATAATATCATTCATTGTTGGACGGTGTCTATACTCAACTATCAGGCAGCGTTCAACAAGAGACCTAAACGAGGCTCTTCTAATACTATCAATAAGACCTACTCTCTCTTCTGGTAGAGGAATACGTTGTGTTATCATCTCTAGAAGGAGGACACCATAACTGAACACATCCATTGAAGGAGAGTGTTCCCTTGGATTCCCTGCTTCAGGTGCTGCATAAAGTGGGCCACCAGGATTGACTGACCTAATTATAAGATGCTGAAGATTAGCTGATCCATAATCTGATACTTTAGCCCTCCATCCAACTCCCATTGGTTGAAGGAGTACATTAGCACTGCTGACATCTCTATGTAGTATAGGATGAGGCTTGAAGAGATGAAGGTAATTGAGAGCACAGGCTACATCTAAACTGATGCTCAGTATCGCAGAATAGGCCACTCCTCCACTCTCTAATTCCTTTCTTAGGCTCGTCGGCATTAGCTCTGTCAGGATCATTGGATTACCCTCTGTAGTTGCTCCTATGAACTGAAGGAGGTTAGGATGACGTATTTTAGAAGCAATATTCATTTCACGAGAGAACAGTGACACGTTATATTCTGATATGATGGTCTCGTGAAGTACCTTTGCAGCAACTTCCAGTCCATGGAAACGAGCTACTCTGACCTCTCCCCATCCTCCTCTCCCTAGAATCCTTTCTGTCATTCTAATATCATTTCTGCTAACTACCCAGGAAGACTCTCTCTCTTCTCTATCTCTCTCTCTTAGTTGCTCCTGAGCTTGTTGAAGCTGTCGTTGAAGATCCTGTTCTCTTTGCTGGCCACCTTCTACTTGCCTTTGAAGCTGTCGCTCTCTTTCTTGAGATTCCCTAAGTTGCCTCTGTAGATCTTGGACTTGTTCTCTGGCCTGTTGAATTTCCCTCTCTCTTTCTTGCCCTTGTTGAAGTTGCCTCTCCTTTTCTCGAAGCTGTCGTTGAAAACCCTGCTCTCGTTCTCTGGCCTGCCTCTCTCTTTCCCTGGCCTGTTGAATTTCCCTCTCTCTTTCTTGTCCTTGTTGCTGTGCTTGTTGAAGTTGTCGTTCTCTTCCTTGAAGTTGTTGCTGTAGTCTGTTTCTAACTTGTTCCTTTTCTCTTCTCTCCTCCTGTAGTTCCCTTTCCCTTTCTTGTAGTACACGTGTCAGACGGTCTATTTCTCTTCTATCCTCAGGTTGAACAGGTTGAGATACTTCCCATTTTCTTCTCCTTTCTTGTAGTTTCTCTTGATACTGGCCCAGAGGTATTATACTAGTATACCAATCATTATTACTAGTATATCCTATACAGTAACACAATAGTTGAATTAATGACAAGTACATGTACATGTATAATATAAAATCTGTATTTAGTTAATAAAACAAACGGTTATACTGTTAATTTATAATTATTATATTCAATATGTACCGTGGCAAATTATGTATATTCAATACATTTGTATTTACATGTACTCACTGAGTTCAATAACTGCTGTATCACTTATTGGTAATATTAAGGTTCTCTTTCCTCCAAACACAATTATCCAGTTAGTGGTTGGAGTCACACTCCAAACTGAGAGAGAATGATAACATCTATCAGCGACATTGTTTGGTATATTATTAACCTAAGTATAAAGGAGGATTAGAATAAATATAATTTGTAACATTCATTGTCATGTACTGTACATGTATTAAAATATTATTCCCCAATAGTTAATATAGAGTTGTAAGCTCCACCCAAATGGTCTAAACTACACCCACAATAAAATATCGTATAGAAGGAAATTTTGGAGGTAATTAAATTTGGCAAATTTGCGGCGTTTTGATAGCCATTCACTAAAATAAAAATACACCTTCTTGAGCCATTATATGCACGCTCAATGGCACATGGCCACAAATTCACCAAATTAAAATCCATCAATGACCAAAATTTAGCAATTTGCCAAATTTAACTCCCTTCCCTGCTATACTTTACTGTACACATACATGTAAGAAAATACATGTATATAGTCATTAAAGGCCTTTTCACACTGGCACAAGTAATGCGCATTAATCATGTTCACACTAGAGTGGTTTTAAATTAAAGCGCATCACTCTCACTTCACCTCCAGAGTTAGAGGTGGATTGATGTGAAGTGATGCACTTTCAGCTGTATCAATAAAGCCCATTAAAAATTGTGCCAGTGTACGTGTGATCCTGCTGCGCTGAAAAGGCCTTAACTCCACCATAGATATTAGAGTTAATGAAAGGGATAGGAAACTTCCGTTGGCGGCAGGAAATGCTAGTTACCTATACCGTATTAATTTAAGCCAATTTGCTCTAATTAATCGTATGTAAAATTGAAAATGGCTGCACAAATGAAGCAGGTAGGTATACATTTCATTGGTTTTTGGTTGCATAATGTCTTATTTTGTACAGATAACCCTTCAATAATGTAGAAGAACACTCTTTCTACTTGCCCAAGTAGTCTGCTGTGGCAATCATTATGTTTGCAGTTGGAATTCATTGTTAATCAGCACCGTCAATCATTAATCACCATATTACATGTTTAATTGTATATTTTCTGTAATTTATAATCTATTATGATTGAGAGTGTACCAGTGACCTCCGGTATGTTCTAAGCATTAGAATAGTGTGATAGTTGATGTCATAGACCATTTAGTTTTTAAGTTAAGGGTACAAGACAAACCTTTCAA